GAAGTCATGACATTCTGGAAGAAGGAGGGGTGCAAAGGGGAAAACATATGAAGTGGAAAGTCTTCAAAGAAAGGCGAACCACAGGAGAAAGCTGAGTGTGTGAGGCAGGGGAAAGGAAGACTATGAACTGAAAAGTTGCTTCCTGCAGAGAAACAGCAAATACCTACAGGAACTCAAGGGGAAAAAAAAAGATATATTACAAGAAAATCCAAGGATAGAGTTTCCTCTGACAACACAAAAAGAAACTTTATTTCCAATTGACTTGTTGCTGAGTATATCTCAGCAATAACGTTTATTCACTCACCCCAAGCTCTCAAAAAAACCCCAGTGTAATAATTAAAAAATAAAAAGAGTTTACGTCCACCGAAGCAGGACATTACGCATATGATGGAAGCTCCAAAGAAACTTTGTCAGGGTATGCTCGGAAAGAAACAAAGGGGTGATAAAATGAAGTGTCTGCAGACACAAGAAAGTAGAGCAGCAAATGCAGGGAGGGGAAAAATAAAGTAAAAACAACGAAAAAGAAGAAATAAAATGAGGAACTAATCATCTGGGGCTTGTTAATTGTTACATGACAGGCAGCGAATGCTGATGGATTGCTTCATTGCCTTTGGTGCCATGATTTCAGTGCCCCTCCAGACTGACAGCATGCTTCTCTATCCAAAGGAAAAGGCACCTTTGGTGATGCTGAGGACACTGGACTCGAGCAACACTGCTGCAGGGGGGACAGCAGTGGCAGCAGGGCTTGCCAATGTGCCAGAAGGACACCCTTTGGCTCACAGCTTTTTTCTTCCCTCATTGTCCAATCAGACTAAATGGAATGGAGCCATTTGCGGGTTTAGAAGTGGCGAGGGTTCAGCCCACTCCAACCCCAGGCACCAGAGGGTTGAAATAAGAGTAAATGCTTACAGAACACTTGTGCACTTTCCAATTGCTGCACGAGTGACCACAGACACAGCCCAAGCTACGATTCACCTACCAAGCAGCCCCAGGAAAGGAGTTAGGAAACTACCCTCACTCTTAGAAGGGGAAGCTGATGTGAAACTTGGCATGGTCAGGACTTAAAAGAAACCCCAAGAGTTACTGGGCTGTAGCCAAGCATTCAAGCTGACAGAGCAGAGATTCACAACACTGATGCACTCTCATCCCCTGCCTTCCTCCCCGCTCGCTCCAGGGCATCAGCAACCGCACCCAGCAAGATCCTCTCCTGGATTCCCTCCCCTCCCATTCATGATCGCATAACATCCCCGGGGCGATTGCTCACACGGAAAAGCAACATGAGGAAAGTATTTAATGTATGTTTATGTCTTTTAATATAGTGTAGCAGCTGGAATCAAAGGCAAAAAATCATAGGCTTCAGCACATGAGCATCGTGGCTCTCCACAGAGACCCCTTCTAATCACCACCACTCCCTGGACCACAACTTTAGAAATCAGGCACTAGCCCCTATTGCCTAATTAGCAGAGCATTGGAAAGCTTAGGAACAGGCATATCTTCTTTCTCCCTAAGTGGCCACTGAATAAATGCTGTATCCTCAGTTCACAGGCTTCTTTTACACTGCTGGCATTACCAGCTCTTTGTGTACCCACATGCTGTTACTTAAATTGCTTCCATGTTTTCATTACTTGCCCTCTGTGCTGTGTGTATTGAAACTCCTGCAAGAATGCTGAAGTGGTATTTCAAAGCACTGGGGACTACTAAAGATGTGGCTGAAATTATTATGCAACAAACTTGAGTGATTTTTTTCAAGTCCTGATAACAGTTTGCTCCTCTTCAAGGGGAAAGATAAATTCAGGTGCTGCTCCATGAGGCTCCATAGGTGACAATGGCTCCCACCCACCAGAGACACAAGCATGGCACTGCAGTTCAGGTTATGCTCAGCTCTCCGTTCTTATACAGGGGTCTGTGGGGCCTGTATATATGCTATGCATCCATAAGCAAGGTGGTAAATTTAATTAATGATGCTGCTCCCATGCACAAGGGAAATGTGTCCATTGAGCCAAACTCTTCTGGCAAAAATCCACAGGGGACAGTGGCACGATGCCATCTGATGATCTGCCCCACAGTTTTAGTTCTTTGCTCCCCGTTCCTGCTGCCAGTAGCTGCATTTCTTGAGTTTGTGCTGATTAAACCAACAGGCAATCAAACAGCCTAACTCTGAAATACCAAAACCACTAGAATCAAGTACATGCAGTAGGTATTTGTATGCTCCTCTCCCAGGGAAACCCACAGGTGGACCAGACATCTTCAGTTCCATTTGAGTTTCAACTTGCTGTTTTCTCCCAACTATTCTCCCCCCAAAATTGCTGTAACTGCCATGAAACCAATCTAACTGCCAGCACTGGAATCCTTCTCACACTAATTTCCAACCTCCTTCTTCTGTAATGCCTTCCATCACCCCTTGATATAAGATGTTCACAGCCAAAGCCTGATGCTGCAACCCACAAGCTAAGAGCCAGTCATGCACCAAACCCCTTCAGCTGCAGGGATGCAGGTTATTTACCATCCTGGTTATTTACCATGCAGGCTGCAGGTCTCCAGGCACCAAATCCCTTGAGATTACAGCACTGGGGTCTTCCAGATCGCTGATGGGGACTCCTCTGCCCCAGCCCTGGCCCAGCAGCTGCCACACAGCAGCCGTTGGGAGTTATGCTAACGGATGTGCCGGGGCAGCAGCCCTCTCTCCATCTGCTCAGAGCATCCACCTGCTGGGTTGGGGTTTGTTTTGTTTTGTTTTGTTTTAATGGCCAGATTAGGCTAGCACTGTCCCAGAACACTTCCAGCCTATGCACAGGGTGTGAACACCGCACCAGCCAGCCCAGACCTCACAGCACAAGTGCAAACTGGATGCAGGCACATTTGGGCCATGATCTGCTTCTTTCAAACACCTTATCTTTCTGTAATTAAAGCCTCACCCTGAGTGTAAGCACACTACAAGGTGTTTTTTTGTTATTGCTGGGGTTCGGGTTTTTTGCACATAGATTTCTTAACTTTATTCATATAATCACAGACTAGTTTGGGTTGGAAGGGACCTTAAAGCTCATCCAGTTCCAATCGCCTGCGATGGGCAGGGACACCTTCCACTAGAGCAGGTCGCTCCAAGCCCCATCTGACCTGGCCTTGAATACTGCCAGGATGACATTCTTCCTAATGTCTAATCTAAATCTACACTATTTCAGCTTAAAGCCATTCCCCTTTGGCATGTAACTACCTGCCCTTGTAAAAAGTCTCTCTCCATACAGTTGACTTTTTTGGATGCCCACTTGAAGGAATGAATGTACCTTTGATAGACTAAGTCATAAACACAAATGAAAGCTCTACTTTATAAGAAGTAATAATTCTCCATGGTCCATGCATGGTAGCCAGTGGTTTGCAAGTCTTTTTCTCCCTGCATGGCCATTGAGGAATTGCTTGTGACACCTTTGCTGTCAACGAGCATGGTCTCACACAACCACTAGTTCTCCTGAGACCTCTGCAAGTATTCAGGAAGGAAAGAGAAGCAGAAATAAGAGATCTCTCAGTGATAAGACAACAGTCCATCCTTCCCAGTAGGTGGAAAAATCTCTTCTCAGTATTTTACAGCCTCAAAACTTTATTGTTCTAAAAAGCTATTTTTTTTTTGTGGACATGCAGTATGACATTTAGTTGGATTCTAAGAAAAAAAAATAGCTGGGGGGGGGGTTGTTTTTTCATGTTCAGATTCTAGAAGTACTTTCAGAGTGAGCAGTGTTAACCTCCCTGTGCCTTCCCTTGAGTCAATGGAAAATGTTAATGTTTCAAAAACTGATTAAGAGTTAGAGGAATCCTCATCTAAGAGTCTGCCAAGGACAATGTCTCCAACGAGAGCCATATGCAGTTGGCCTTCTAAAGGCTTTCAGTAGCCCTTCAAGCACCCATCAAGTGTATAAGGTATGGGAGAAGGGCGGATCTTCTGCACAGAGAGGGATCTAAGCTGCCTGAGTAGGAAAGTCAAGTCATGCCCTGAGCTGTAACCAGTGGACGCCTACTTGAATGTGATGGATTTGTCCAGGTTTGGGAGATACTCATGAGTCTTTCATCAGATCTGTGATCCTGTATGAACTCATCATGATGCCCACGTGTTACTAAGGAGACAGAGGTGAAGTATTTGTACTATGATAACACCTCTACCCACCCAAAGCTCCTTTGTCAAACGCCTAGGACAGAAAACACCACTACACCCAAAATAAGATGATAGTCACCAGGTATCCCAACCCACACCAGTGCTGCTTAAAACACACAAACTAAGTTCATTTAAAGTGTAGGGGACAACATTGCTGAAAAATCATCAGCAAAACAAAAAGTGCTCCTGAAAAGAGCTCATAAAAAGAAAAAATATTTTTCCCTCCTTCTTCCTCTCCTTGACTAAATGAAAAAAAAAAAAATAAAAACAGCAATTTTTACTTGAATTGAAAGAACCAAAAATTTCTCTCCAGAAGAATATTTCAAGAAAATGATATGCATCCAGGAGAAAATGAGACTCGTAATGGAAGTATTTTCTGAAGCATAACTATAGTGTTGCTAGCACAATGCTGTAATCAAGAATAATGGAGCCCTTTGCCTGGTATACAGGAATGGATTCAATTGTTCACTGTGCAAATACCTGTATTTTTAAAATGTAGTTGAAAGCTTTAACCGCAAAAGGCTTGAGCCTTTTAGACACAAAGCAGTTCAAAAGTGGGCTCCTTCATTTATCACTCATGTAATGATTAATCTTAAATCTCAATTACACATGAAAATAGAATAGGCCCAGCTGAACTTTTGATCCCTTCTGAATTGATTCATCTGAAGGATAGCTCAAAATCATCCCCACAGTACAGGATGATACCCACTCTCTATTACCTCCTCTTCAGCCAAGCGGGGATTTATAAGCCTTGCAAAGGTTATGTTTTGGACATGAATTGTTTGAGCAGGTTTAATCCTATCCTCTCCCTCTCCTGTGTTCAGGAGAAAGGGATATAAAAAGACAGAATAGGACTTACTTTCTTTTTGGAGTGTGATCTGTCCTCTTCTTTAGCTGTTTTGTTATTTTTCCCCGCTCTGGAAAGCTTCTGCTCCCCAGACTGTTTGATAGTGATTTTGATCTCAGGAGGGCAAATATAGTTCTCCAAGTTCTTTGGGGGCTTCTTAGCTCTCTTGGTGGTTTGGATCTTCAGCTTTAAACTCCCCTCTGTGAAGTTAGCTTCCTTGATGGAAAACTCCTGCTCCTCCAAGCCATCTCCCGCCACCCATTTCTCACTGTCTGCATTAGAAGTGGAATCCACGTCTCTTCCAGAACCCAGCTCATCCTCTTCCTCAGGCTCCAGCCTCTCACTGCTCACCACAATCCCTTTCCCTGAGCCCGCTGAGGGCAGCATCGTCTCCCCTGTGCAGCTGGATGCAGGAGGAGGCTTCATGGAGGTGACAGTGGCTGGCAGAAAGTCTGCCTCGCCTCCCTTTTGCCGGGAACTGCCCAAAGTCTCCCTGGGCTCCATAGCAATGCAGCAGCGCCCTGGAGTTTTATCAGATGGAAGGGGAGCGCAGAAGGGGATGAGAAGAGCACGGGCAGGTACGACCCAAGGAAGCAAATGGTATCTGTCTGACCGAATTCAACGTCCGGATCACCCAGAGGCTGCAAGTTGTTCAGAAGAAACCAGATCTGCCACTGCCAAAGGAAAAAAGAAAAAAGGAAGTTAGCGTGTGTATACGTATCAAACATGAGTGTGGAGATGACTGAAACAGGGCATGCTTGGGCTTCTCCTGCAGCATCTCAAGGACCTTCCTTGAAGCAAATGGGAATGAAGGCTGGCTGGCATTTTGGAGGACTGTATCTGGTATTGTAAAGCGAGGAATAGTAAATTGATGAACATGGAGATATATGTGTATATAAAAATAATAGTAATGGTGTGTAAATGCAAAAGCCTTCCACTCTGGACTTGAGAAATAAATGAGGAGCTAGCCAGCTCTCCATACCCACGAACCTCCTTATTACTTCAAAGTGCTTGCTGTCAGAGGGGTTTCAGAGGGAGAAAAAATTAGAGGCAGACGTTTGCCTCAGGTTAAACAATAACCCAGTGATCAGAGCACCAAAACCCATGGTGTTGTCCTATGAATCAGGATGCAGAGTTTCAAACTCCCGTTTCCCTACTTTCTAAGTGAGACAGAGATGCCCTTGGTTGCCAGTATCCTGCAAGGACTCTGCTTTGGGTGAATTACTTGTTACAAATGGGGCCAGGCACACAGTGCTTGCAGGCTGAGACACAACCTGGGATGCTGAAAGTGCAGGAGGATGCAGTTGCACCTCTTGCGGGGCTATCAGGAACCTGAGTATAGAGGGGGATGGAGAAAGCTAAGCCCAGTGTTTTCCAGAGTTCCTCATGCCCCTGAGTACCTCTGCTCTGTGGTGAGGGCTGAGTGACGCTAAAACTGTGCTCTCATCCTTTCAACTGTCAACTTTTCTTTAAAACATCAAAGATTGAACCTTTTGAGATGGAAGCATTTGTATTCAGAACTTCACAAAGCCTTGGCCAAAGTTGGATGTTGAACTGAGAGAAAAATATGTATCACCCAATGGCATAAAAAGCCAAATACCAAACATTTGGTTGAAAAAAAACCATACACATAAGAGAGCTGTTGTTTTAAAGGTGCTGAGGTCCTTTGGTACACCTTCCCTAAAATCCCCTACATAGCTACATCCCATCATGGTGAGACAGTTTAGTCTACAAGATTAGCAGAAGAATATCTCAAAAAGAAACAAAGATATTTTCTGCTGCTTTAGCAGAAACAGCTCCCTGGTGGGTTAAAGGAATATCACTTCTGGGATACAGAGAGCGAGAAAGCACTGCCAGAAGAAGGTGCAGACCTACTCTTTTGACAGTAGCTCCCTGTTCGGGAGATTGGCTCTGCTAAACTGCCAAACTCCACCCCTCGAGCAAATAGAAGCAAGATCTGAGTGCAGGCAGGGATATCCCAGGTGATTCTTAGTAGCAATAAACCATAAAGAGGAAACAAAAGTGATCTTGCTACTTATTACTAAATCGTAACAGCATTATCAGTGTAGACTACTTCAAAGTACAGCTCACCAACAAAAATCACATGTCCTTGTGCCACTAGCTTCTTTCTGCTTTTTAAAAATAACTTGCATGACCTTAAAATTGAAAAAGAAGGAATAACAAGTGCCTTTTATTAGTTATATATCCACATGTCTGCTGGAGTGTGGCTATAGGTCACTTGTCTGACCCTGGCACATATGGCTACTAATGGAAAGTCCTAAGAATCCTAGAGTTCCATGAAATCATTGGATGACCTCCACCAGGTCCCATCAGACACAAATTCAAATAAAGTTCCCACAGATAGCACAAGATGACAGCCCAAGCATAAAAGAAAAAAGAGAAAGAACTATCATGAAGCTTGAATCGCCATCTGGCCTTAGGTGTGGTTTCTATAGCTTGTAAGAAGTACATCACAAAAACACTTATGCTTAAGTTGCACATCTTCTGGCAATAGGGAGGAGACTCATTTCCCAGAGCTGCTGCCACTGGTCTCATTTAAGGTGATCTTGAAGAATTAACAGACCCAAGGTCTCTGCATGCCTGCCTTGACTCAGCAAGTCTCCGTTTCACCACCTGTGAAACAAAGACCAAGCTTACCTCATTCCAACCTATTGGTAGGGTGGGTTAGTTAATGCCTTGACATAGTTTAGAACCCAAGTGTTTACCGTGTGGTAGCCACAAATTACTAACGCAATTAGTACGTTAAAGTCACCCAGTTGCAAGGAGCTGCTCCACCTAATTGACCAACCTCGCACCTTGCCTCTCCTTTGCACCTATAGAGGTGATGGGAGTCAGGATTACCTTCCTCTTCCAACCAGTCCAATACGGAAAAAAAAATAGAAAGGCTGTGCTATTTAGCTGCCATTTCACATCACTGTTAATCTCCTTGGAGAGGAACACAATGTACACACACTCCTGGGCTACAACACAAACACAAGGTGGTAAAAGCTCGGCAGTGCAGCATTCCAGGGAGTTACTGCTCTGGTATGCACGCATGTACAATGGGCACTCTGTGCCGGCCTCCACCCACAGGTTTTTAACCTCTCTCACTGCTGGCAAGAAAGAGAATGCTTCTGGCAGACAGCATCTAGCTCAGCACACAGGGCATCAGGATGAGTCCAGACACCAATGGTTCAGGGAAAGGACCACAGCTACCAGTATAATGAACCAATCCACCTGGGACCCTGTGTTGAATGGAAGCTGAAATAAAACTCACTTCTCTGAACTGGCAAGGGTCTTTTAGGCTCTGAGTCACAGGGTCATGTTTTATGGAGGGTAGATAAAAAGCCAGGTTTCTGCTCCAAAGTCTAGCTGTGGGTCTTGGACCCAGACTCAGGGTCATGATACCCAAACACTCATCCCTGCTTGGCAGTGTGCCTCCAGGGCAGTAAAAACAAGCAACAGTTGAATAAAGTCACTGCTTTACACTAGTGCCAGGTGAGTTAGTGCCAAATCTACCTTAAAATCCCACTTAAAAGTATTGGCCTCCTGTTCTGCTGAGAGCCTGCAGATGATGATATCACCAGACCCGAAGGTAGCAACAAATAACCCTGTGCTCAAATACCATGTTGAATTAACTGGGTCATTGTTTTAGGTATCTCCTTATTTTCCTCCAGGGTTAATAGTTAAATGACTTGGGTGCAGGGATATCATACTTGTCTTTCTTGTTTGGGCAGGCTACCTGTGCTTTGACTAATTAGGAAACCTCACTTCAGGCTTCTGAATGTGTAACCTCTTTCGGAAACCTCCCCTTCTCCTCTCTGTAGACTGCCTGCAGAAATGCTGAAGGGACAGTGGTGAACGCTTTTCCTCCAGCAGCTCTTCTGCCTTAGCTGGCAATGTGCAGATCTGGAAACCTAGGGAGGAAGTGGATTTTCCAGGAGACCTCTATTTCTTTTTAAGCGCTGAAGAGATGGGGGCTGTCTAGACTGTGTTCACCTAAACTGCCCTTCAAGGCCTCACCAGCATTGAGATCTGTTCAATAAACAGCTACAGAGCTGTTTTACCATCTGAATTAAGCTCCTGGAGAAAGTGTTACCGCTAGCAGGCTTCCTGCAGTCAAGTTAAATTTGAGGAGGATAATTCACAGGTGCATGACAACAGATTTCACACAAGTTGGCATTAGCTCTTAATTAGGGAGAGATTTGTGCTTCCTCTGATAAGTACTGAGAAATAATCAAATGCCTGTGTGCTCAGCCTTGCTACCGCTGTTCCTTATCAGCTTCTCTGGGCACCTCAAACACACTTCTGGAAGCAAAGGCCTAAAGTACAAGACCCTCCTTGGGGTTATACTAGATGCCTGCCATTAAGGGTTTTGAATGACTTCCTTTCTTCTGCCTCAGACAACTACTCATGCTTGCAAGTATTCAGATGCCAGGGTTATAAAGTGATTAAACTGAGAATTTACTGAGGACAAACACAGATGTGAGAACCCACAGACCAGGAGAGAAGTCCACCTATTTGGGATTTTCCATGAAATTAAGTGGGCATAATACCTGGCATGGCATTTGCCCTAAGGGCTGGAGCAACCATACTAGTAACAAGCAAATGCTGATTAGACAAATGCAAGCAAGCTAGGTGAATTGCCCAGCATTTGTGCTGCTCCCCTAATTTGCTCAATCACAAGGAGCACGAGCAGAGAGCTTCAAGCAATATTAAGAAATGCTACCCAAATCCCATAGAACACTTATCCCAGCCATAACTTTAACTACTGAGACTGTTTTCATATTATCAATGGAGTCCAAAATGCCTTAAGATGTGAAAAGAAAAAAACAGTGCTATTGAAGAGGTTCAAGTGAGTGTAAACTGAGGCATGAGTCTGTCATACTAAATGTGAAGTGGAGCTCACATCTTCTCAAACCCCACATCTACCTTTGGATCTCACATTGTCTCATATGACATACTGTGAAATCTTTATCTCTGCAAAATATCAGAAATCCTGGAAGCCTCTTTACACTTCATCTTTTTAAAACCATTCACCACAAAGCACTGGAGACTATACAGCAATACTTAATGATGAGATATCACCTTTCACCCCAAAGACTCCCAGGTTGCTCCCTTGATTATATATGCCACCACTGAAATGCAGCTGCCTCTGGGGCAGAGGCCAATGGACAACCCACATTACACCCGAGGGAAAGTTCTGGTCAGAAACTTGCTTTTATGAGAAGTGTCAGTGAAACTTCAGAAGCCATCATAGGACATAAAAACCCAGCAGCCTGGCACACAGCAAGCTGCACTGAACTGAGTTAACCCAATTAGGAATTAGAAAAGAAGACATTCCAAACTTTTTCTTCATTACTGCTTTACAAAAAAAAAAAAAAAAAAGGAATTTCAAGTGTGTTTCTGGTCATGCTCAGTTCACTGCCTGATCACCAGCAGCACAAGTCTGGTGCAGATCAGGAACAAGCATCTGATCACACACTTCTATCAAATGGACCAGATCATACAAAATAAGAGTTAAGCCTTTTTTTCATGCCAGTTTAAAGGCAGGATGGGTAAAAATCCTGTGGGTTACATAGAGCCAACATGGTTCAGACAAGTGACACAGAATGATGTAATACAAAGTCTGCTGAGATAAAATTAAGTCACTGCAACTTGTCTTTGAACAAAT